GACAATACCGTTGCCTAGCTAATCATGGGAGCCAGGGATGGGCTTGCTGTGCTGATCATCACATGCTGGCAGAAGAGATAATGAGCTGCTGACAAGGATGCATCTGGAATCTGGCTGAGTATTGCATTGTGTGAGATACCGTGTGCTGCTGCTTCCTTCCCAAGTCAGGGCAATGGGTTCCTGTGCCTTAGCATAGTGTCACCTTGCTCTCTGTAGCTCACTCTACATTTCCTTGATACAGTTTGAATGACAAGTTTACACAAAGGGACGAAAGCACATCCTGGGAAGTTCAAATCCTTTGTAAACTAACCTGGTTTTGTATGCTTGCTCTTAGTGAATAGACAATATATTTGAGAAATCAGCTTTAAGAGTAATTTCTGTTGTGGAGAAAGCGAACCTTGGCAGCGTGAAAAACAGATATTCACCTGGCTGCGTGCTGCGTGGCATCGCTTTGCAGCTAGCCTTCTCCATGTTGTGCTTGCAGTCTTCATTCTAGTGATGGGGTTGTGCTGATGTTTTTAGATGGGTTTGCAGGCAGCAATGTCTTAATCAAAGTTTAATTCAGTGCTGTAGCAGGTAAGTATGCTACTGTTGGGCCTTTCCATGTGGCAGGATTTGAAGAAGAGCAGTGCATTTGCCCATTGGTGCTACCTTCTTCAGTACTGGGGATGGTTTAAGTTGAAAAAAACAGTAAGTGCTTTTTATGTCTTCCTGGACATGCATACCCTACTTGCAAATTACGGGGTTTTGTCTTGCCATCTTGCTCCTGAGCTGTATTATGATGGCAGAGTTGGGGAACTTCCTCAACTCCTGATTTTGGATATGCCAGCTGGGGGGTTACCCAGATGTCTAAGTCGGTTTGTGCTGACCTGTGCCTTGTCGATTTACTTTTCAAATACTGGTTAAGCCAATGCAGTAAATTCTGTTTCAGCTTTCTTGTCATGTATGAATAATTTTGTCATTAATGGCTGGAGCTTGGCCCTAGTTTCTTCAGGGGGGACATACCTGAGCTGTGTAGGCAATACCTCCATGCAGAGGGAGAGGCTGTGCTGCCTAAGTTGTTGGCTCTTGGTACTTAACAGGCTCCACTCTGAATCCTTATATGACTTTCAGCAAAGCATGCAAGTCTGTGCCCTTCATCCTCTCCAAGCTCGTTAATGATGTGAGCTGGACACAGGCGTGAAGGAAAAGTCCATCTCGGAACAGATCCCTGCTGGGAAAGTCAGGCTGTGAGCAGCTCTGCATTTAACAAAGCTAATGGAAATTTCCAGGGAGGGCTTAGAGAGCTTAGTGACAGCCATAAAAAGGAAAAAAATAAGAACTTGACTAAGTGGACTTCACTGTCCATGACTGACGCAGTGTGAAGAATTGCAATTTTTCACCCTGAAGCCCAGGGCAACAAATGTCCTCCTTACTGCATCCACATCCAAGTAGCAACATGCTCCGTGGTACACAGAACTTCTGCCTTATGCCTTGGAAAATGTAAAGTGCTTCCAGCATTTCCATGTTGAGAGTTTGATGGAGCAAAAGTTAAATGCTTACATTACCTGAAAAATATTCATTTCTCCAGTGTAAGCTCTGCTTCTGTGAAATGAATAGTCAGGCCTTGATTTGCAAATCTCCTGGGAAACGTACTGTGAAAGGCTTGCTAATTTACAAAATTCAAGCAATATTTTGCAATGGGAGTTAAAAAACCTTTAGGCTTTCTGAAAAGGGAGATCGCACTGTTTTAAATAGGTGTGGTTAAACCAGTGCAAATCTTTAAGCTTAATTGAAAATCTGATTTAAACCAAGGTAATTGTGGTTGTCACACGCATCTTTGTTGTGTACTTAAGTTGGTTTAAGGTGCAATTATGTGATCGAGTTTCTAATGCAGGCATGGCCTTAAAACTGACACTTAACCCATACAATTGCAGCATTTCTTTGATATTTTTGCTTATTAAGAAGGGAAGTGATGATCTTTGTATAAAAGATAGTGCTCAACCAGTTGCCTCTGTTAAGTTCAGATATTTGCTTTCCTCACAGTACCTTGATGCAGTCTGAAACATCTCTTCTGTAGCTTCAGTCAGTCATCCAAAGGCTGGAAGACTTTGGGGATCAAAGCTGGATATTCGTCTTAGGGCTGTGGAGAGGCAGATGTGGGTTCCAGGTCGGAGAGATGCAGATGCATGCAAAAGAGATCGAAGATCGTGCTGAGGGCTTTATTGCTTGAAGTCTTTTGCAAGAGGTGGAGTTGGGAGAGGGTAAGTTGGTTAGTTGGCCAAGGGAAGAGTCTGCTGAACGGTAGCAGTGAGGATGCTCGCTGCTGCAGTAGCAAGTGCTGACTGTTTGTTCTGAGCCACTTTTTTGGCCCCACAGGGAGGCACGCTCAGTCCAGACTAAAAAGCCATGTTAAAGTGGTGTTGAGGATCTCATCATGGCCAATCTAGTGGCTTTGGCTTAAGCCTGTTCATTAGCGTTCCCAGCCTCAGCAACAAGAGCAGTGACACCAGCTGCTACAGGTCCTCCATTCTCTGGCAGTAAATGAGTAGCCAATAGGACCCTGGCAGTGAAACTCAGTTGATAAATGACAGTGTTTAAAACCAATGTGCAAAGTCACGTATTAAATGGAATGGCTGTTGATTTCATTGTCCAGGGAAAAGTGCAAATTGACAGCATGGAGTTAGAACAGACTTTCCTGTCCAACAACGCGACTGTATGGTAGTGAGCCTCTGCAGAATAGGTGGGAGCAAGGACGGGAGTTTTTAACCTGATGTACTGCATGTCAGCTTGGTACCATGATGCTTTTGTAGAGGCGAGATGAATCAGACTCAACGAGGTGTGTGCAGGAGCTGAGCTTTCTGTGTAGTGTAAGAACACGGTGTTTGGAGGAAGAGAGGAAATACAGTATTGCCAACTCACATTTTGGCCTAGGGAAAGCTTTGCAGTCTTCTGGTTTATTGTCTTGGGAGCTGGCAAGCTGGCAAAGACAAGCTGAGCACACCGAACACCTTGGCGAGGAATACCAGTCATGTAGGTGGCTGTGGGGACTATGCCTGTACTTTGAAAAGCATGAAGAAGTGTGGAAGGAGGGGGAGAAGAGCACGGGTCGGTTTAGCTCTGTTGTGTAATAGCTGCAGATACCAAGCAAACTAGACTTATTATGGAAATTTTGACTACCAGGTCAGAAAGTCTTGCTTGCCTAGGGAGTGTGCTACTTTGCAGACAGCAAAGTGCGACAGCTAAGCCTCAGAATATTAGGCAGGGGATGGAGCAGCCAGAGGGACTGGCACGGTTTTAGTGACAGGTTACCATCTGTCAATAAACTTTGAAGCCTTTGTAAATCAGCATCTCCCCAGTAGCTGCTTTCATGGGGTGTAATGCAGCGCAGGGCTAGCTCAGCGCACCAAAAAAAAAAAAAGTGATGACTGATTACTTCCTGTAGACTCCATGCATGGTTTTGCTGACCTAATTTTCTCCAGCTTTCAGCCCTTGGTCCTGACGTGGGGTGCTGTCACCCCAGCAGTCTAGCCCCAGGCCTCCAGCACACAGCTCTCCCATCGCAGCATGTCTGGCCTGCAGTGTCCTCTAAGCTGGAGTTCTTGCCAGTTCTGCTGAGGCATCTCATTACGGGGACAACAGCTTTTGTATGTATGCAAAACACCATGTTTGTGCCTGAGCCATAACCAGCTACCAACTACTTGCTCTGAATCCTTCCTTGAGATTATGAGACCACACTTAGTTCATGCTCTGAGACTGCCTGCTGTGTGATGCAAGTCCAGCTCTTCAGATGCAATTCCCTTCTGTCCGCACAGGACCTTTTTTCTTTTTTTTTAATTTCTCTTTTTTTCTTTTTTCTTTTACTTGCCTTGTGGTGACCAGACCACAGCACTGTTAACTCTCCACCTAGCAGCAGCATCAGGTGTCTGCAGTCCAGCAGCCATAGTACACAGCACCATGTGGAAACCTCCAGGCCAGCTCACAGGGAGCTGGTGCAACAGCATGGCGTGGCAAAACACTGTAGAGAGACTCTCTCTCCTGTGGTAATGCAGCCCAGTAGTGCTTCTGGAGGTGGGACACAGCCATAGGTGGGAGATCTCCATACTGCCTTGGACTGCACAGCGTGTGCCTGTCCTCTGACATTCCTGTACGGCACAGAGTAAGCTGGATTCGCTCTTATCCTCTTCCAGTTTAAGAGCCGTTGGGCCTTAGAAGCAGCGGGAGACACAGCGTTATGGTTATGGTGGTTTAGTTTCTGCAATTGCCCGTAGTCTTCAGAAATGACATGATGATTAGCAGCTATACACTGTTAACCTTGCCTGTTCTTGCGAAGTGATTAGCCAGCCCTGGCTTCATGTATCTGGGAAATGCACTGTGAAAGGTTGCCAGAGCATTGGCTGTTCTGTTAAACTTAGTAGCGTTATCTGTAAAATTCAAGTTTTGGACTTTTCAGACACACATGTAGTTGATCCAGTACCAACTCTTTTGTGAAAACTTATGAAAATATCCTCTACATCTGCCCTTGCTCCACAGTGACTATCAGTGAGAGGGCTGTATAGAGATTTATTTATAGGTAGAATGAGAACCATTTGCAAAGAAACTAAGTGTTTTACTTAGCATTACCTAGTCCAGGAAATGCAGGCAGGCACCACAGAGAGAATTGGCCTTCCCATTCCAATTCTTTGTTTAGTCACTTGAAGTTAGGATAACCTGATTTTATACACACAGTTGTATGTCTTCATTTCCTGAAGATCTCTCTGCTTCTGTTGCTGTGCCTTAGTGCTAATGTTGAACTGCAATGAATGGAATATTCCAGAGCAATGTGGGTAATACAGCCCTCCATGTTTGCAATGCTGTTTATGGTGATGAGCCCTTTTAACAGAAATGTGAACTGAGCTAGATCTGCAGTTTCCGTAGGGCAGGAATCAACACTGTCCTTGGTGGTGTGGGGATATAATGTGTGCTGGCTGGAATAGTGCCCTGTCATGCTAATATTTCTTTTCCTTCTTTGGTGTTTCAAGGGCCTTAAACTCTGGAGTTGAGTACCACTGGGACCAGCTGAATGAGAACGTCTTCACTGTGCATTCCAGCAGCAGGAGCACTGAGCGGCCTGGGTGAGTCTCCTGGGTGTGGGTTAGAGAGACTTGACCCTTTCTGCTGCTTTTGTTACATCTGATGGCACCACTTCTTCTTCTTTGTTCTCTTAGCACTGGCAGCTTTAAATATGCAAGTTTTCCCCCCTTTGACACTGCCTAATTGGGTCACCTGGTCTGCTTCCAGCCGGTGACATTCAGTGCCCCAAAGTGCTGCCAGTGATAGTGAAATACATGTGTCATCCGTGGCCTCAGTAACAACTGTTGCAAGCTGCGGGAGGAACATGTGGGGCTTGATGTATCAAAAACCTGCAAAGTAAATGGCCTTTGGAGGATAACTGAAGGATGGGGGTCGTTCACAGAGATGAGTGCAAATCCATTGGGCGGTCCTGGTGACTGATTTTCATCCCTTTAGTTTCTGGTCATGGGATAGTTGTTTCTCAGCTATAAACTCTAAAAATAAAGCTAAATCCCTTGACAGCCCTATTGGCTGCTTCATCCAGTCTGTCCGGTGATGCACACATTAGTTATTCTAAACGCAAGGGTGATGCTGCAGTCCCTTGCTTCTTGCCCCAGTGACGAGTACTTCTCTGTAAGCCAGCTGTTCTCAGCAAGAGGGTGACAGTCTTATTTCTGAATTGTGAGCTCTAGGATCCCAAGGAAGTTATGAGCTAGTGTACAGGGCAATGTCTGCGCTGTCCTACAGCCTTGGTCTGATTGAGGGTGAAAAACAAGCAGTAGAGATTCTTTACTCTGCCATGTGAGTAGATATTGCTACTACTCACATTTTTTGACAGCACGTATCAGTCTTGCATGATGGGCTTAGGAGCAGCTTGAAGGCGGAAATACTGCTCAAGAATGAACTAGCTCAGAGAGGAAGAAAAGTGTGGCAGCTTTCAAAAACTTATGAAAAAAGGTTGTGAATGAGGAAATATTTCCTAGAATCTCTTTACCATTCCCAGCACTTACAGCCAGAGGTCAGTTTTGGAAAGAGCATCCAAGCATTGTCAAGATTCAGCTCTTGTAGCAACTGTTCGATTCTGAGAAGCTAATGAGCCTTGAGGTGATTCCTGTCGTTTGCTTTTGAGAACAGAGAAGTTGTCTTGTCCAACTGGAATGGGCAGAAATGCCTGCTGGAGTGCATTCATGTGTGATGCTGACAAACTAGGAGGTCCAGAGGAGGGAAGGGATATGGGCTGCGTCCTTGGGAGTTAAAACCGCCCTGCTGACGTGCAGAGGGAGGTTGTCTGTGTGTTTATGGTCCTGCGCTGCATGTTGTGTTCCCTACTCAATTCTGTGACCCTGAGACGGAGTTGTTCTGCAGACTTAGTGATGCTGCAGGGGTATCTATCTATGCCTGTCAGACACGCTGCTTCTGTGGAAGGGTGAGTGGATTGTAAGACTCTGTTGGCTTAAAACTCAAGAGACCAGACAGCTGAGGCTGGAGAGGAGCATCTCTGTGTGTCTAAATAAGTGCAGGTCACAAGTCCCTCCAGCCTCATCTGCATAGGGGCTAGCAGGTGCCTGGCTGGAGTGGAGGCAAGAAGAGGCTCAAACGGATTCTTCGATCTTGCTGGGGCACGTTGCCTCCAATGCTCCTGGTCTTACTTGTTTTTCTCTCTTTTCAGAACCAGCAGAGCCACATGGAGGACAGACAGGGACATGGGCCTGATGAATGCCATAGGCCTGCAACCCCGAAACCCCCCCACCTCTGTGACTTCGCAGGGTACCCAGACCTTGGCGCCTCAGCTGCAGAATGCGGAGGCTCGGACAGAGAGGGAGGTACAGGAGCAGGAATCCGCCTCTGCAGGGACTGGGGAAGGTAGGAGCTCAAGCAATGATTTATCTGACGGAGCGTACCTGGTGAATGAGGAGTTTCTACATAGGTTCCACATCCTGTCAGTACATTTGGACACTCCTTTTATCTCTTCAGCAAAGATTTCTCCAGTCTAATTTGCCTGTAGCCAGGCCAAGATGGTCAGGAGAGTGAATTTCTGCTCATATGAATAGAGAAGTTGTCTTTTTCACATGCTTTTAGAGGACAAAATGAGCTTTTCTGCAGACCATTGTATCTTTGTAGAATCAGCTGTACTGATTCTACAGAAGTCCTCACAAATCTCCTGAACTCTAACCATTGGTAAGTCTGCAAACTGTTAAGAATTATCCTTTCTGCCTCTGCATTATAGTTAGCTTGGTCCTTCAACCTCTGCATGTAAAACCTGCTCAGCTTCTGGATACAAAATAAAATACTGTAAATCGCTTCTCACAAAGCAGGTATGAGTAGTCTGTTTAGTCTGATCAATGAAGGCTGTGTGATGAGTGTCCAGCTCAGCTATTCAAAAACGTCTCTAGTGTTTTCCAGTCCAGGAAAACTTACCAACATGTAAAGAGCTGGAAGCAGCTGATGTGCAATTCCTATATGATGATAAAGTCACTGATCTTTTGAAAAGCATGATGATTTTTTCCAGGCTTCTTGTCTTTACAGTGTATCATTGTGCTTGATTTCAACTCTGAAGGCTTCGCTAGGAAGGAGTTGGACAGTATATGCATAGGAAAGACAGAAAATCAAAGAAACAGTTTTGAAGTTGTTGGTTCATGATGAACCCACTTGGCTTTGGGAAGCAGCCCATGACATGCCTGTTTGTACCTGTGTGCTTACTTGTGCTCTGTCACTCTGAAAGATGCTTTTTGGCATGTGACTCTTACACAATGCCTGTTGTGCAGCATCCAGCGTGTGTGATAAGGCTTTGCGTGTCTCTGATCTCGACTCTTCTGTTCAAAGTTAAGTGGCAAATTCCTGACCTCTGGGATTTCCCATCCACTTATCTCAGCGGAGCTGAGATTAACCTCTCTGGAAGGTTAGTACAGTTGAGGGCGTGTGAATAAGGCTGGAGCGTAGGATGGCTGGACAAACGCTGAACTTGTGGGAACTGGTTGTTCCACTGAGTGTGGTATGCAGACTGAGAACAGGGTACAGTATGGGACCTTCTTGCATCAAAGCTTGCATGCATGTTGCATCATGGCTGATGCTGCAGGCTTGGGGGTCTTTCTGTGCTCTGTTAAACCAGTAGAGTTCTCCAGTACTCCTTCTCTCTGCTGCTGTTCTGCAATCATCTGAAGGTTTCATTATCTCGTTCTTCTAATTAACCTTTCAATTTTCAGATCGAGATCATGGTTTTTAACTAGACCATTAATTAGATGGGGAAGGTTTGTCCTTTACCACTGCCTTGGGCAGGGTATCTCTACAAAGAAGCAAAACATGTAGCATTTGGAAGAAAAGGAGTGCAGACAAGAAGCCTTAGGACAGAGACTTCTCTTTGTCTCCCTTTCTTGCTTGGAAGAATATTGACGAGTTCCACATCTGGTGTGATTTCTGGCTCAGATGCTGACTTATTGCATGTCCCCTTGCAAGTGGCCTCGCCTGCAAAATCAGCTGTGACACTCCTGTCTCCTGTATAAGGATCTTTAGAACAAAGGAGTTATTCCAGTACAGATGCACACACTGGAGATGAGCCAAGCGGTCTTACCCTGTAGTTGATCAGTTCTTATGCCAGTTGCATCCTTGGTGGAAATTCCTAGCTCAAGAGTAGCTAAAAACAGGGATCTGTCAAAACATGAACTATCAGAAGCATGTAGGATCCAAAACACCAACTAGTCCATGACAGAAGAATAGTACAAGGACCTATCATGAAGCAGAAAGACAGATTTTCAGCTACTGTTACCAGCACCTCAGCCAGTTAGCCAGGGACTTTTGTGGCACCAGTGGCCTGGTTCATCCAAGAGTCTTTGTGCTTCACATTATGCTTAAGCACCATTGCCCTGATTGTGACGTTAGAGTTTCTGTTTTTCCAGCATCATAAATTCTTGTGATGCCCGTCCAGTGTGTTCAGGCAGGCTAGATTAGATGCTGTGCTGCTTTTCTGATGGTTAATTTGCCCACTGTATCTAACATAAGTCTTTGTTGAAAGGGAAACAGTGTTTCCCAATAGCAGGATCTAGATGTCAGGCACACAAAGAGAAGAGAAAAGAGGAAGAAATGTGCTACCACTAACTTGGTGTGTGACCTAGGGCAAATTATTAATCATCTACCAAATGGGAATAAATCTTCCCCATAGTACAGTACACCAGGGGCTGTGAAGATTAATTAGTGTTTTGTATGGGGCTTTGAAGATGTAAATCACTATGTAAAGGCTTAGCAGTATTATCAGCAGCAGAATGGATAAATCAGATGTGATTCTGAGTAATGTAAAGGAAAGTGTTTTAGTTATCACCTCATCATGAGGGGTGGAGGGAACCAAAAGAAAACAAAAACCACTTGAATGTTTTACACAAAAAAAAAAAGAAAGAAAAAGGCTAGTGCTACCCCCAAGAGTGGGTTTCTGTCTTATGTCCTGTCATCCCTGCTGTTACCAGGATTCTAGCTCAGGGCATTTCTTCTAGATATGTGCTTACTGTACTACAAAAAAAAAAAAAGTATGCAGAATTGCATCAGAAATCTAATTAAGCTCTGTGCGGGTATAAATAGTTTCCTTTTCTCATGCAAAGCTCTGCGGGGACTTTGCTGTTCTGATTATCTTTCTACCTCCTTTGGAGGAATGAGTATATGATGACTTTATTAGAAGTGAATTCCTCTAACGTCTGTATCTTTTTGTTTTGCAGCAGTTGATAGCTGCCTTGTGAACTCTGCTCCCAAGCCGCGCACAAACCAAAGGAAGTTAGAGTTGAGAGAAAACTAGGGGATGCACCAAGAAATGCCTAAAACAGTCCTTCAGCTGTCTCCTACTTTCTTTTAAGCTGACAGACATAGTGGAAATAGTGATGGAGTTGTAACTTTGAGGCACTCTTAATTAGAAACAATCTGTTGGGAGTTATACTGTGCTTTTCCTTGCAAATGGACAGGCATGACGGGGGAGGGATCTGTATTCAACTGGCAAATTAAATCTCACTTAAAAACCAACAAAAATTCCTAATGATATTTAATGGCCCAAAGCTTTAACCTTTAGAAATTGTAATTCCCAGTCCAGACTGGGTCAGGCTGCTGGATCTGTGAAGTAGGGTGCAAGTGGCAGTAACTGTCAGGGGCTGCAACTGTGCAAAAGGTGCTGCAGGCTGAGGAAAAGGGACCTTTGCAGAGCTGCAGGACACTTGCTTGCACTCCCATTCTGTCCCCTGGCTATTGACCTGGCTATCTGGTTGTTTAAAAGAAAAAAATAACCCATACTCAAAAAAACCTTGATGGAAATAACTGAAAGGCAATTGTCATCTCAATTCCTATCATCTGCATTGTCTTTGGGGCTTAAAATTCAGATAGCTAGCTCAATGCTCATTGTGCAAGTAGGCACATGGTATGGACTACTGAAATTGTAGTCATTGGAAGACTTGCTGTCATTCGATTGCTACTTTGCCTGTCTTTGGGGGAGCAACATATTGACTACTGTCATGCCATACACAGTTCTTAACATGTTTGGTTGAAGTGTTTCTCACCAGCTAGTACAAATTTCCATCGTGTCCAACTGCTTTCAGAGGTTGCAGCAGATACTTTTGAGAGGGAAAAGGGTTGTAAAATGAAGGCTTGGGTTTGCGGGATTCAGTCTGTTCAAACTCTTAGTAGTGAAAAGCCAGCGTATGCAACTGAAACTTCCCTGGTATAAGCAAAGCATCCTGAGGATGCCTAAGGAGCACTTATAAGCAGAGCCGATGTGCCTGCGTAATTTATTTAATCTGAGACACGAGGAATGTGTGTCGGGGGGCTGCATGGGTGGGAATACCCTGTCCCCAGCCGAGCCTTATGAATGCTAAAAAGAAACATGTTGTTTTACGTTAGCTAAACACGTTCTTGCAATGCTATTGTCAGATGTGAGGTGACTTTTGTGCGATTAGTGTGGAAATGGGAACCAGGGATCAGCTTCCAGATCTGTGTCTCGTTCTCCAAGTAGGAACGTGGGTAGCTCCCTTAGCCTTTCATCTGCCCGTCCATCTGTAAAATGTGCGTCATATGTCCTACAGAACTGCAAATTTTGGTTTCTCTTTAAAGCTCTCTGAAAAGCACTACCTAAAAAAGAGAATCAGGTTCTAGAAGCACATACTACGCAAGCCTTTACAGTGTGCGCTACTCCAAGTACCTGGCTCTCTTGGGATTAAATTATGGGGGCTACTTTTAAACTCTCATTACAAAAATAAATTTCACTCATACAAATCACCACGGTGAGATACTGCTAAGAAATTTGTTCTAAGTCAAAGCAGTTGTGTCTTTTCTGAGTTCTGTGGAGTTGTTTGGATTATCTACCTCTGAAAGGAAGTGTGAACATGCTTCTCAGCTTGGTTGGGGAGAAAAGTAACTGGTAGTATTTCTTCTGGCACTAAGGGAGATGTGATTATTCATAGCTGGTTATGCTGTGCTGTGACCCTCCCTTTCCTATTCTTATGCAAGGAGTGAATTCATTTTAAAATGCTGGTATTTTTATCTTTGAGCATCTGAATTAGTGGGTCAGCTCACACCTCAGAGCTATTATTCCATGTTCTCTGAAGACTCAGATATGTCTGCAGTGCTTACTCTTAGTTCTAATTTTAAAGCTTTGTTTGCAAGCTGGGCTACTAACTACTGCTGGTTTTAGAAAGAGGAAAGCCGACAATAGGGAAAAAGTCAAGAGCAATGTCAGCGTATCGCACAGCCACAGAGGAACCTGATCTCATCCTTGCTTCTGTGGGCTTTGCTCTTTATCACGTGTGTGCCTAGAGATAAACAAGCTGTACTCCCCATAAGTATGTCAGAGACCATTTAGGAGTGGAAGTGCTCCTGCCACATGCCCAGCTCCATTGAAAGATTGCCAGATGTTTTGCCTTTGTAGTCTTCTGCGTCGAACCCTTGTCTTGCTGCAATAGCATGGCAGAGGACTTCTAAAGACAGATGCATTAGCTAGGGAGTATTTTGTTAAATGTTGGAACCAGTCAGCTGGATTGACAGAAATACCCTGGTCTTTGGGATAATTACTCTCAAGAGTGATGTTTTGTGTCTGTGTTTGGGATACATGGGGTTTTGAACCTCTGGAAAGGTCACTTTGGTTAGAGTAGAAAAAGTTTGTAGGGACGCAGCACTGTGAACACAACACTAATACTTGTATTGCAGAAGGGAACCGTGGGTGATGTTTTTCTGTCCTGTCAGGCACAGAATTCGTGTCCCTGTCCAGAAGAAGATGGAGACTGTGTCTCAAGACTGTTTCCAGCTCTGTGATGGATTGTGATACAGGGACAGCCTAGATGGAGGATAAATTGGCAGATGTTATGCTTACACTGGTGCTTCATACACTGGAGCTGGTTAGCTCAGTTTTCTAGATTTTTGTCTGTAGTGCTCTGTAAGGTTTTTCTGTTTCTAGAGAATGAGAGCTTAAGATAAAGGATTTTACAGAGCCTAGGATATCAGAAGGTAGTTTTGAGCATAAAATGAGAGAAGAGGAATTGCCCTCTCCATGTGGAGAGTTAGAAGTGCTGTCACTTAGCCTATTCCTGCACAAGCTCAGGTTCTCGCTCTGGATATGCCTAAAGCCTTTGGAGTCTGAAAAAAGTGTCACAAGCATGGGTTTTCTCTCTGTCCTGGGTTCAGCTGGTGGTGCAGGGAATGGGGGTTTGGCCACTGCAGCAAGTTGAAACTTCTAGCAATCTGAGGTGTGGGGTTTATGGCATTGCTGCTGTTTTGGGTAAGTGCCTGTGTGTACGTTCTGAACCTCCACCAAATGGAAGTTAGCTTATTTCACTTGCATTGAGTACTAATGTAGTCTGCATTGGCAGCCTGGTGAAAGAACATGTGTGGGAGTCACCAGGCAGTAGAAACGGGCTGTATGTGAGTCTGTGCTGCACTCAAGGCAAATCGCGCAGGAAGCTTTGCTCTGAACCAGTCAGCCAAAGCCATTGTTGAAACCTGAGTGGGGGAAAGGAAGGCAGAGGTGCTCGTTGGCTTCTCGAATGGTGAGGCTCACTTCTGGCCCTTGACGGGCAGTCTTTCGGAATTTCCAGCGCTGCTGTATCTCTGTGCTCATGAGCTGAAGGCTCGTGACTTGCTGTTTTCTGCTGTGGCATCAGCCCTTGCCTGTTTTCTGAGCAAGCAGCTGCCTCAACTGGAAATTCAGCCATGGCACCTGGTAGTTAAGGGGCAGGGAAGAGCAGGGGGTGCTGTGGTGTGCCCTGCCTGCATGGGCTTCTCTGGTGAAGCACGTTTGTAATGCTGAGGAGCATTGGCTGGGGATGCTTGCTAACTCGCTATTCCAATGCTCCTGTATTTGTCTAGTTTGTAGTAAGTGATCTGTCAGGAGTACAGTCCCTGCTGGTTTGGGATTTGTGTAAACAGGGCTGACCAGCATGTCTCTAAGCCAGGTTGCACATCTTGGCTTTCCCAAGCTTCCTCTCTGGCCTGGCCAGGTGTTTACAACTGCCCTCAGGAGGAAGCAATGACTGAATCCAAAACCATGCCTCTCAAACCTTCCACTTACTTCTGCTCATGATTAATGCTTCAGTATCCCCTGGTATGCGTGTTTTTCATGCTGAAGTCTCCAGTCTAATAGCTGCCTCTGCTCTCAGTCTTCCATACTGGTCAGCCAGATCCCTAGTTCGTGCGTCAACCACATCCTGGTTCATGCATCAGCCACATCCTGAACAGGATTTCTCTGCTAGAGTTGTGGGTCGGGCTCTGCCCAGGAGGTATTCTTGCTCACTCCTCTAGGCTCTGCTTCAGATTGTCATGTGGTTACAGGTGTCTCTGTGGTCTCACTGATGCTTTAACCAAGGAGCTGTGTAATTGTTGTGTGTATAGTGGATATAGCAGGCTTACTACATTCCTAGCAGAAAGGGACTTATTTTACTTGTGAGGATTAAATTTGCCCTTAATGTCCATAATATTTCTACAGCAGGGCAGTAGGTCAGTTGAATTGCTTGAAGATGAAATTAGCCATACCCTGTGGTGGAGGAAGCTGGTGGTGTTTGATGCAAGTACCACTGAGCCCACAAGGAAAGGCAATAAGCTGTCACTGACAGACTGCACAACATCTTAACAGCTTTAACTGTCTTGCTTTTTTAAAAAATAACCTCTACAATGGCATGATGTAGACTGTGCTGAATACCCCAGCTCTCATGTTGAATACATGATCTCCACCCCAAAGCGCCAGGCGGTTTTGTCTTCCTAGTCAGCGTACCATTTTGGTTTTTATTGTGTTTTAACTCCTGCCTACATCTAGCCTTGTTGACATTTGTGTTCATTTCCTTGGTGCCAGGAGAGCTCATGGCTTTCTCCTCTCCTCTAATCAGCACTGCGATAGCTTCGTGGAGCTGGGAGTGAGATTTATCTCTTTAATAAGAATCATCAGGATCCCACTGTGGAATGATTCTAGCAGTTTATGATTACAGATTGTTTTCCCCAAACAGTCCGGGTAGGGTTTGTAGCAAAAGGAGGATGCTGGGAAACAGAACTGGGCTGGACTTTCCTGCCATGGGTATTTAATCTCCTACGTGGACTATTTCACTGTGAGATTTTGTTCTTCAAAAGTAATCTTCAGCAGCCAAGGCATCTGACAGTGGTTCCCTCAGAGCTCGGTACAGCCTGACTATGAAGGGAAGGCTTGGAGATAGAGTAGACAAAGACTCTAGATCTTAAAAGATGGTTTTTGCATTCCTCAGAAGATACCATCAAGGGGAGCAGGAACCTCCACACTTGATCTTTCTTTGATTGTAGGTGATGTGGAAGCACAGACCATGTTCTTTAGCTGCTGTCTGCTCTTGGCCAGCTGCCTATGTTCTCCCCGATACTGGAGAAATTTCCATCATGTCATCTGCCTTGGAGTGTTCTCAAACAGACGAAGCAGGAAAGGTCACAGGACTGTTTAACACCATGGCGAAATGTTTGATTTATTGCAGTGCAAACTGAAGTTTTTGTTCCTGCCCCTGTGGGACTGTCTGTGCAGCTGTGAGAAAACATGCTGCCTCTTTGACTCCTCTTTTTTCCTCACCTGCATGGCTAGATAAGAGCTGCTTCTCCAAGGTTTGGATGTGCAAGTCTGTGAGGGATACCTGTGGGAGTGGCCAAGATGTTCTTGCAGAGTTCAGTGCATTTGTTTGGCACTTCACTGAAAGTTACAGAAATAAAATATTGGGCTCCCTCTGGAACAAAACCATCTTGCGTCCCAGCACATGCGCACTGCGTGATGCATCTACCCAGCACGCTTTCTCTTTGTGTTGTAGTTTGCCTGTGCACCAAAGTTGCTTCTGCTTTCTCTTGCAGGTGAAGGTCCAGAGTATGGGGCCAGTGGGGAGGACGCCCTGAGTAGGATCCAAAGGCTGATGGCAGAAGGTGGCATGACTGCCGTGGTCCAGCGGGAGCAGAGCACCACCATGGCGTCCATGGGCGGCTTTGGCAACAACATCATTGTGAGCCACCGGATCCACCGCAGCTCTCAGACTGGTGCAGAGTCTGCCGGAGTTGAGGGCACATCAGCACAGCAGTCCACCTCACAGCAGCTGGCAGCTGAGCTGGAGGGACGGCTCCTTTCAGAGTCTATGCAGCTGTCAGAGCATGGCCTGAGCCCGCGGACAGCCCCTGGCAGGAGTGAAGGACAAAGCGCTGGTGATCTGGACCTGCCAGAGCAGGCTCAGTCCTCCATGGACACTGAGGGACCAATTGAATACAGTGACCTAACTAATAATAACCATCTTCCTGACAGTACCAACTTCTATAGTAATGACAGCACCAGTGAGGAGTCACGGAACAGGTAGAGATTGAGTTTTGTGTTGGTGCTACCCTTGTACTGCTCAGCAGAGACCTGTACCTCACAGCTGGCCAGGAGCTGGAAGAGTAGGGACGTGTGGCTCTGACAGGATGCTGGCATTTCTGAGGGCTTCTCTATCCTGGGTGAGTGGGAAGGGATAAGGAACTGTAAGGGAGGCCATGGGGAAGAAAGTGAACTTAACTTCCAACATTCCCACTGCTGAAGAGTTAACAGGAATATGAACCATACTGGCTGCACATCATGCAGATTTTTAAAGCCCCATGGGATCCCCTGAGCTCAGCCCTAACCCTGCAATTCGGTCAGTGTCATCCTTTGTAAAGCTTCTTTCCTGTCCTCTTTCCTGCACTTTTATGCCCAGGGGCTGATCAGTAGAGTGAAGAAAGGGAAGGGGGCCTGCAGCATCCTTCTGGAGACAGGCAGTCCAACCGGGCAAACCTGGGCGTGATGCTCCAGCGCTGTTGCTGGAGTGGAGGAGTCTTCCAGGCCACAGTCCCACTCCATGGCACAGCACTGGTGCCCCCTCAGAGTGTGGTGTTCAGACACCCATCCTGCCTGCGCTGTGGTCTTTTCTGGGAGGAACTGGGCTTTGCCAAAACCTGCATGGCTCAGGATCTGCTCACAGGTGGGGATCTTTCCTTTTTAGAGTTAGTTTAGTACTTGGCAGGAACCTAAGCAGAGCTGCTATATAGATGGGTAGAGGGACAGGGGCTACTGCTTTCTAGCCAGGATGCAGTTCATGCAAGGATGTTCTAAGCTGTGCCAATGTTAACGTGAATGAGCCATCCCAGTGGTTTCATGGTGCCAGGACTGAGCTGCACCTCCTTGGCAGGGGGCAGGAAATGTCTTTCAGCTCCAGGCCAGGGTGTGAGGTATGGGTCTGTGATGTAAGGTGTTGCATGTGAAATCTTGACCTTGTACATGTAGTTTCTAGTGGAGAAATCAAGGCTCTGATATTTTGTTTTTAGTCTCAAATGTGATTTTCCTTTTCGTTTGTAACTCTCCATCCCTAGCAGGCTTGTGGAGGAAGGACGGGGAGAGCGTGAGTGCTAACGAGGGAAACACCAAAGATCAATGTCATTAAAATATGACAAACCCTTGCTTGACCTACTGTCTTCATTTGTGTGATGGTTGTCTCTGTGTTTGGTCTTGGGATAGGTACATCCCACTCAAAAGCTCAAGGTAGCTTACAAATGTCAGGTGATGACCACCCCCTTCCCAGGAGGAAGGCAGGGCTCAGTCTTTTAGTTGGAAGTCCAAAATTGGGAAACAGGGAGGAGCATTTGGGAGTCTTGGTTGCAAATCGCCTTTTAACCAGTCTGGAGATGAGCAAGCACTTCTGCGTTTCCCATCATTCGAGTACTGCAGTAGGGAGAAAGAGGAGCGTTTCTCCTATCCCGCTTAAAAAGGTATGTAGAGATGCAGCACTGTCTATCTTAGGCAAGCAGAGAGTGGTCTGTCTTGCTGACCTCTCAAAGCAGAAGAGGGGTGCAGTATCCGGCTGTTCTGGATAAAGGAATGCATGCCCCCGTGTTACCACTCTGCGGTGAGGGATGCTTCCCTTGCTGTCTGAGCACCTGCCGGCAGCTGCTGCGCTCCTGTGCTGGCTCCTCTAGACTCTGTGCTGCAAAGACATTACAATAAATAAGACTGTCATTAGGCAGCACTCAAGCTCCTAGTCAGAAGAGTCTGTTAGAGAACATTAAGCAAATCTTCTCTTAAATCACAGCCTGGAAATGAACCTTAAATCAAATCAGCTGCTGCCAGGCCTCATTGCAGAGTGTTAATGAGGCTCTAAAACCTGCCCTGAGCCAACCGCATCCCTGGGCTGACAGGAGAGCAGCCTGAAAAACGGGATTCCCTTGTGTGGTGAAGGGAGGGTTTTCATGCATCCCTGTATTGCCTCAGTGTGGGGTGGCCTGAGGATGTGCTGGCACTTGGGAGCCAGAGGAGCTATGTCTCAGCTGAAGATGGGCAGACAGGGCGGTGTGGGTCTAGGCAGAGCTGTTTACCGCTCTGCTTGAAAACAAAAACAGAGTCTGGAAAAAACCATGCTTCTGCTTCAGGTCAGCCTGGCATCTTCTCTTCCCTCTCCCTGTACGATTCCTGGAAGAGTCTTGAAGCCCATTCTTGGTAGATGTGTTGCAGAGCATTTACAGATGTCCATTTCCATAGCCAGAGCCAAACCACCTATGGAAAAATTTCCATCACAGTTGGAGGAAGGTCTTCTGGGATGTTTCGCTCTAGTGTTGGCAGATTCTCAAAGACCTGGCATGCCCCATTGCTGAGCGCTCTGGCCTGACAGCTCTGCTGAGGGCTTCCCCTTAGTCCAGATCTGCCCCCGTTGGAGACGATGGCAGAGTGGGCAGTAAGCTCCAGCTGGGAGCAGGAGCAAACCACAGCTGCCGCCTTTGACATCTACTCGGGACATCTCTGAAGCTCCAAAGCAGCCTTTCATTTGAGGCTTGTAGGGGAAACTCTTCCAGATGAAGTAAGGATGGACGCCTCATCAGAGCAGGCAGCTTTGATGTTTCTTCTGACAGCTCTTTGTAGCTCTGTGCCAAAGGCTCGTAACAGCTGCAGCCTGACTCCTGCGTTCGTACAGGCTTTAAGCAGGAACAGTGGGCAGGGTGGGTGTGGGTGGGCTTGATCTTCAGATGCTGCTTTGGCCGTGCTTTGTAGATGACCCGCTGTGGCCGCGGAACTAAGCACATGCTGTCAGTGCTGGTGGGCTTGTATGTAGAGTGTGCAATGCTTTTTTTTTTTTTTTCCCGAGTTCCAAACCTAGAATCTGCCAAGCTCAGTTTCTGTCCCTGCCTGAGACCTGACGCGGAGGGAGGTGGGTGAGTGGGAAGAGGGGGGAACAGGAGGGAAAATTGAGCACGCTTACGCCATGGGCTCGCTTTTTTCCTCCCCAATGCAGTTTATTTCTTATGCCTTCCATGCTTCTTGGACCAAACTCTCTGCCTTGGACTATTCTGGCCCAGCAGTCTTCCTTGGTTGGTTTGGGCAGGGTGGAGCTGACCTGTACCCTTCGGCAACACCCGTGAATCCGCACAATGACCTGAGGCGTTGAGCCCTGTGCAGAACAGGCGGCCGTGGGATTGCCTGCGTCCAGGACAAGCGCAGCAGCGGCACGGGGCTCCTTTCCCAAACCTCGCAGCTCACCTTCTTGCTGCAGTGTGATAACGCAGCGCTGAGTCAAACGCCCTGCCAGGAGCAACATGGAAATCCAACAAGAGCTGCCTGAGGAAACCAAATCAGAGCTGTGCATGCTTGCCGGCCCAATTTAGGAGGCAAAATGAGAGCTCTGCTGCTTAGGAGCAGGAAATAATCTTAAAAACTAAGAGCTTTTCTCAGCCTTAGCCTGTCAGGAGCCTTTAAATGTGCTAACAAAATCCTGGGGAAAGGAGAAATACTGTGCAAAGAATTTTATTTAGCTTTCAAAAGGCTTTTGATAAAGTCCCTCACAAGAGGCTATTAAAGAAATTTAGTCACCTCAAGGGTGAGGAGGGGTAGAGTCCTCCTGGAGATGGACGCTGTTTGAGGTGGGAATTGGAGTCAAAAGTAACAGCCAATTCTTGGTGTGGAAAGAGGTTAATGGTGGGTTGGTCAGGTTCAGTAGGACCCAGTGTTCTCTAAAAGCTGTAATGAGCTGGAAGAGGAGGGGAACTGCTGAAGATACAAGTTTATTTAGGTTAGCTGGGAAGAGAGAAGGTGCCAGAAGCCTGGGGCAGCGGGAGGTGGTAATGGTTGGAGCTGCTGTGTTGGAAGGGGGCTTTTGTATGAATCCTTCATGGCACTAACCTGCACGGGCACCGCTGCAGCCAGTGAATGCTCTGGCACCCCGGGGCCTGGGACCAAACCAGCTGGTGAGCACTGCCTGGAGGTGAGACCTGGGATCCCACGGGGGGTTGCTGAAGCCCTGGCAGGTGGTGCAGCAAAGTGGTGAGACCCTCTTGTCCCCGGGAGTCCTGTGTTTTTTGCCCTCTCTCCTTTGCTGGCCTGTTGCTCCATCTCCAGCACTTCCATTTGACTCCCCCTGGAAGTCCCACACCATACCCACATGTGGCTGGCCTGGGGTGTCTGTGGGGTGACCCTATAGCTGGGTGGTGCTGGGACCCCAGCTCTACATGACGACCAGGAGCTGTGCTGGGCAGGAAGGAGAGGACAGGGACCAGGTCACAGCTGGGTGCATGGGGAGTCTGCCACAGCGAAAAAAAAAGTCCCTCTACCTGCCGCTCGAGCTGCTGACCGGGGAGCAGCTGCCCTCTCTGCTTGGTCCCAATCTGTCAGAGAAGCTGTTCTCCAACAGGAAAAGGCAATTAATTAAAGTATGCAGCATGCAAGCCATCCTCCTCTAATTGGGATCTCGGTGTGCAGCACATAAATGTCATGCCTCTGCGTGGAGGGGGCCCTTGGCACACAAGGGGGCCAGAGGGGACGCAGCAGACTTTAATTTCCAGCTGCCACCCTCTGCCAGCCAATTAATGTCGGTGCCCCTTTCTCCTCGCCCCTGGGAGCAGAGGCCTCTCTCCTCCCTGCCCTGCTGCCGCTGTGCGGCTCCTGCACAGTAATAGGCGGGAGGCTCGTTACAGCCCGCTCGGTGCGCTCTGGCGAGCACGGGGATTTGTTTCCCCACAGCGTCTTGAACAGAAGCGCCTCACATCTGTTCTCGGTTAGCTCCCTCGGCTCCTGTTTGTTTTGCCTTTCAAGTGGTTGTTGCTGGCGTGCAGCACCGGTAGGAGCTGGCGGGGATCAAGCTGTCCTCCCCGGGACGCTGGACTGGGCATCGGCTCCCTCCCAGCCAGGAGCCAGCAGCCCAGAGGGAGCACCATGAGGCTTTCCTTCTGCCTCCCATCCAAAAACCAACATGCTGTTCCTCCAAGCATCGACCCTCCGTGCTAGGGTCTTGCCTGCCAATTCGGGCCAGGCTCTTCCAGCTTGGTGGTGCCTCGTGGGACAGACTGAGGGGCCCAAGTGCTGCACGGGCAGGGCTCAAACGACTCGGTGGGAGAGGGACAGTGTGAGCGATGGGAGATGTGAGCCCAGCAGGGAGAAAATGCCACCGCTGGAAGAGGCAACCAGACACTGAGGTCTCCAGGAGGACCCGTTGCTGAAACTGGACCGCAGCTTGTGTGGAGCACTGCAGCTGGGCTCTGCCGCCCCACGGAGCCTTCGCCTCAGCTGTGGCTGGCAGGACGGTGAGCTCTGGGCTGGCATATGGGTTTTGGCAGCTGCTGAGGTTTCTCTTTCTGTCCTTGTGTCCAGCTCTGCTCCAGCTTGGCTGGTGGAGTTGGACTCTGGAGTCCCTGCTCTTTCCAAGCTCAGGAAACACCCGAGGTTCCCTGGCCCCTCCACCTTTACCCTCTGAGCTCCTAACTCCAGCTTGACAAAGGCTGGAGTAAATAGCAGACACTGTGCAAAAACATGAGATGTCATGGTAATTTAGGCTTGGTCTTTTCTATTTCTTAGGCTCAGCTACCTGTCCAGGCCAATATTCCCACCCACGTGGCTGCCATGGGTGGTGCACCACTGCTACAGCTTTCCCCAAACCCTTTCTGTGTGCCACACGGATGACAGACCAGCAGAGCTCCGGATTGGGTGCCGGTCACTTTGAGCGTTGCTTGGCACGCACAGCAAATGCTGTCCTTCTGTCTGTGCTCCTCCTTGCAGCTGCAGGGGGAGAGGGAAGTCTTGAACATCTGGGAGAAAACAGGAGGCCAGCACAGGTTACGGTGGAGCTCTGTAGATGCTCTGTTGTGAGTAAATCGGGGAAACGGAGAAAAGGGTAAAGGGAGCGACAGGGGTTTGGCTGGCAGTTCCTAACGTGCAATGGGGCCCGGCACGAGTGTGGACACGGGGCTCCTGCTCTCCAGTGCTCGCTGCTGTGTTAAATGAGCTCCAGTGTCCCTTACCAACACACATG